TAGAAAAAATTAACAAAACTTTATGATCATCTTTAGAGTATATCTGCTTGGAATTAACTTGACTTGAAAAATTAGTACAGAAAGAAAAAGAACAAAGCATCTATCTTATCTCTGTTACATGAACTATGCCTCAGGGTTGATAAGGGCAGTCTAGCTAATAAATCAAAAGGAATGACAGAATTAAAGGGTGTCACCACGTGGCACCCTAGGGAAATTATGGTCTAGGCAATAGTCTTTGATGGCTGCTAACATGATATAAGAGGAAAGAAGACATCACATATTATTAATAGATATGCACAATGACATCTCTAAGTATGTTAGCAAAAAAAATCAAATTTGAATCTGATGTTGGTAAAGCTACTAGAGCTAATTAGCAACTCACAGGACACACAGTGGACAGAGAACTATGTTAAATGATAACACTGGGACTGGGAGGTGGGGAATCATGACAATCCAGATGGTAGGAAATTCTACAGGACAAATGAGCCAGTTTGAACAACAAATAAATTGGGGTGGGGATAGAGAGAGGGGGAAGCTGAGCCTTTAAAGCTTTAAGAGATATCATTTAATTGCAACCAAGGACCTCATCACAACCCTAATTTGCACAAAGTTAAGCCATCAACAGATATTTAAGGGAATTTACATGCTGATTATGCATTAGATAACAGAAAAAATTATTGTTTAATGTGTTATTAGTATGATAATGGTATGTTAGTTATGTTTAAAGAATCCTTACATTTTAGACACTAAAATTTAAAGATATAAGCACAAGTTTATGGATGAAATTATATGATGCTAGGAATTTGCTTTAAATGAAATCTGGGGTGTAGGGAGTTACTGTGTTATGTATAATTGAAATGTTCCATGATATATTGTTAAAAAAGAAAACCAACAAAAAGTTAAAACTAAAACAAACAAACAAAAAATTTCCCAGTTGATGACAGATAGAGACCCAACAAGATAAAGAAAATCTGAGAATTTCAGTCCTTCAAAGTAAAGTTGGCTTCAGAACTGTGACGTTGCTTGCCCAGAATGCATAGTCTAAGGAAGAGGTTTCTCTGAATTCCCTTAATTTCTTGTCATGGACTAACAAAATACTGAGGTCATTCACTTATAATATAAGTTGATCTGGACAGTCTCTGCTCACATTAGTAGCTCCCAGGAAATGCTCAGGAAAATCACTGGAGCTCCAGCAGTAGCCTGCAAATATCCCCCTAATTGATACCTTCTCAGTGGTAGCCAGCCTCCAAGGGGGCCCCATGGTGAGTCCTTCTCCCCACATGCATACTCTTAATCAGCCCAAGGTTGGTGTTCCAAGGTTGGTCTGTGGGATCTGTAAAATAAAGCAAAAGGGATGGTATGTTGCACTTGAGATCTGGTTATAGACCCTGCAGCTTCCATTGTGGTCGTTTTCTCACTCTTGCTTTGGTCACTTGCTTTGAGGAAAACCAGCTGCCATGAACTGAGCAGCTCCATGCAGAGACCACATAGCAAGGAACTGAGAGTTCTCCAGCCAAAGGCCTTGTGAGTAGGCTTGGGAGTGGATATCCAACCCCAGTCAAGCCTAAAAGCAAGCTTTTCCTTAAAGGGCTAGAGTTCATAATGTAAGGGTCCGGCGAAGCATCGGAGAAAGAGACCACCAAGTGACCACTCATGCAATTGGCAGAAGGGGATTTATTGATCTAGCATGCTAGGGCTCCGTGCCCACTCAAGAAGGGAGAACAGCCCAGAGCCCCGAGCAGGGGCTGAGCACTGCTTAAGTGCACTTTTTTTTGGGGAGGGCGCGGATTTTACATACATCACAGTCTCCTTTAACAAATCATCATACACCGAGGGAAAATCAAGCAACAATTCCTAAACATGATTAGTTCATTCATTGGCGGGAACAGGTCAGGTGGGGGTGATAGGTCAGTTCTAAAGCGGGGTACACATTCAAACTGATTGGTTTAGGGCCTAAATGACTACGTGACAAGTTACACAGAGTCCCAGGTTATTAGACAACCAGGGAGTCAGTGGGAATATTTACTGGGCAGTTCCAGTATTGTCCTAACAGCTACAGGGATTTCAGGTTTTGCAGGTAGCATAGAAACCTAACAATACCTAATCCTTTACATTTTAACTCAGACCTTGCAGCTTAGAAACTTTACAATACCCAGTCTTTTACCCTTTAACTTTTACACTTTAACTTCAATTTCTTTTACCCTTACAATAAGTCAGGATTTGCAGGCCATATGGTCTCTCTTGCAACTACCCAACTCTGTCATTGAACACAGTATGAAAAGTAATGGGCATGGTTGCGTTCCAATAAAACTTTATAGAAACAGGCAACAGTTTGCAGGACAGCAGCCCAGGTCAACAACTTGACTGTGACTTCTTGGAGCCCTGAACCACAGATACCTAGCTCTTATTCTTTGAATAAGAACCATGTAGTTTAAGCTACATTTTAGTGTGATCAGTATCCAATACAACACGTAGTGTTTCCCAACACACTCCCTTTTACTTCTCTAATTTCACCTCTTTTTCTACTCTCCACCACTCATTTAGCTCAGATCAAGGAAGCCTCCTTGTAGTTCCTTACATAAACCAGGGCATTCTTGCCTCAGGTCCTTCATTCTTATTCATCTCTATGCTTGGAATGCTTCTACCCCAGAAGCATTGGATTCCGTATCCTTTGGGTCTATACTCAAAGGAGCCTTTCTCTGTAAAGCTATACTACCCCTATTTACTAATGCAACACACCTTTCCCACATTCCGTGTCTCCTTTTTTTTTTCTTCACAGCATGTATCACCATGTAACAAGCATTTTGCTTATTTTAAGTATGTGAATATCACGTTTTTGAAAGTTAATGGTGGGCAGGGGAATGAGAGCAACAGTTGGTCTTTGACAAACGATCTTCCTTTTTTAAAAAATTTTTTCAGTTGTTGATAGACCTTTATTTTATTTGTGGTGCTGAGACTTGAATCCAGTGCCTCACACGCTAGGCAAGTACACTACTGCTCAGCCTCAGCCCCAGCCCAGCCCTTCTCTACATTCTTCAAAGGCAGTTTTCATCCAATTCCAAACCTGACCTTTTATTTCACCTTTTGCAGAAGTCTATGAAGATCTTTTCACCCAGGTTCATCTGAGTTCTAGATCTATATATCCAACCTCCTGCTTGGTATCTTCTAGGTATCATAAAGGTACCTCTAACTCAACTTAGCCTAAATAGAACTGTTTTCCCCCTAAGCTTTCCTTTTCCCATTGTGACCAAACTCAGTAAATGGCACCATCTAATAGCATACCTATGAATGACTCTTGACACTTCTCCCTTCATCAATGCATGACCCATGAGATGATCTGAATCCTCCTCGATTCCCATGTTGAAACTCTCTAAGTGATGGGAACTGTGGGAGGTGTATTAGGTCATGAGCCCTCATGATTAAGATTACAAATACGCTTATAAAAGTTTTTGTTCAGTTCTGGGGATTGAACCCAGGGTCAGGCTACCACTGAGCTTCATCCCCAACATTTTTATTTTTTGACACAGGTCTCACTAAGTCGCTGAGGCTGGCCTGGAACTTGTGATCCTCCTACCTCAGCCTTCCGAGTCATTGGGATTATAGGTGTGCACCACCACACCCAGTAGTTTTAAATAAAAACTTATAAAAGCTGACTTGCTAGTCTTCATAACTGAGAAATAAACTGTCACCAGATGTTATTTTATTGCAGTGGCTAAAATAGTAGACTCCTTCACCAAATCCCACATATTGTATCCTCTGAAAATTTTTTATCCATCGACTTCTCTCCATTTCAACCATCTTCCACAGGATACTGCAAGCTTCCTTTCTCCCCTCATACAATCGAACCTTCAATACAGTGCTATGGTCCCTTTTCAAAAGCATCTCATGCTGGGGATTGAACCCAGGGCCTCACATGCACTAGGCAAGTGTTCTGCTGAGCTACACCCCATCCCTACCCTGTTTAAAATTCAGCACTTCCCCATTGCTCTCAAGATGGAAGACAGGACTTCAATACTGATCCATCAGCTACTTTCTGCCTTTCCAGATTCTACTCACATACATAGATCCCACACTTGGAGGCTCAAACACTTCCTCAGGCACTTGCCCTGAGCAAACTGCTTCTGTAACTTTTTTTGTAGAACAAATTCTCATGTTATTTCCCTCACCATAAATTATAATACTACATAACCACCTTATCCAGAGCTTGGCACAATAAACACAGTTGCAAGCAAGGAGTTGCTGCAATATTTTTAGGAAAGTGAATCAAAACTTCTTGAAGCCAGTCATTTCAAACACTCCACAACCTATAAACTGATCACAACCTGGGATCAAGATATATTTGGTAACACAATTTATTGGCACCAGGATCCCACCCAAGTATCAGGCACTATTACCTCAGGTTTAACATAAACAGGCACATTAAACCTCCTAAATTTTGCCAAATCATTCTGCTTCAATAGCTTCTAAAGGCAACTGGATTTTAAAGACCATTTCATTTTTAGAATGGGGGAGTGGCACAGTACTTTGAGAAGTATGCTAAGAAAGTAGCTTTAGGGGGTTGGGGGTTTAGATCTGAAGCACCTTGATATACAACTGCTAACAGGTTGAGTAAGAATGCTGTTCACCCATATAGCTTTTATGCTAATTAGCAAAGAGCATTCTCTGAAGCATCAGGCTTTAATAAATGATTCAATAAACACTGAGCACCAATCTGCAATAATTATTCTAGGCACTCAGGACAATATTTATAAACTGCACAAAGCAGCCAAGACTGTCAAGAGATCTCACTTTCCAATATACAAAACTATATGTAAAATAGGGCTTCTACATTATTTTCTGCACAACATCATTTTTACCAAAGACATCTATAAAAGCAATGAAATTCTGGAAATCCTGAAAGCACGCTACTAAATATGAGCTTTAAAAAATACTTATAGAAACTAAAGGAAAATCAAAATCATGTAAACAGCATACTCTTACAATAAAAGAATGAAACAGAATTTGAGAACAAATTTTTTATTCAATGATAGTCCATATTTAGATGTTTCTTTTTCATGTACACTTCATTTGTTTTATTAAAAAGTAAAGCCCTAAAAAGGGAGACCAGTTAGTCCTCAGACTCTGATCCATCTTCATCTTGACTAATCTGGAAATAACGAAGTTCATAAGTCTCCTTGTCAGATGCAACCACACGAAGCCAATCACGAAGATTGTTCTTCTTAAGGTATTTCTTAGTAAGATATTTCAAATACCTTTAAAATAAAAAACAAAAATCTCATTAAGAAAATCCTTGTTATGAAAAGGCTTAAGACATCCTTTGGCATATTCATCTTTTGTATTCCTAGTTCCTCCAAAAATTGTCCTTTCATTAACATAAAGCACTGTGTAAGGTTGCTTGGGATACAATCAGTAGTTCATGCCCTATGAAACTCTGCTCCCATCTCCCTAAAGTAAATTTTCTTTACATTGGAAGCAAATATGTAAGATTGCAATGGTAGCTTCCTTTTCATTGTTATACTACCACAACCAATGAAGCACTATACAATTTCCCTCTTCAAATACATCATTTACATGTATTTCATGTTCCCTTCACCACTACAATCACTCTCCACCCCTTACCCTAAAATTCAACCTTGGATCAGCTGGCTGCAACCTGTCAAAAATCCATTTACAATTTCAAGGTTTTTTGTTTTGTTTTGGTAGCAGAGATTGAACCCAGGGACTCGAGCCACATTCCCAGCCCTTTTTCATATTTTCCTTAGAAACACGTTCTTGCCATTTTATCTAGAGCTCAGGGAGTAAGTAGCTGAGGCTAGTTTTGATCCTCCTGCCTCAGCCTCCCAAACTGCTGGGATTACAAGTGCATGCCACCTCACCCAACAAGTTCAAGGTTTTTGAGAATCTTTCACCTAGCATCTATGTAGGCTTTTATAAAAAACAAAAAGCTCTTGGCATGGTCTAAATTTCTTCATTGCAGCCATTCCCTTTCATTACACTATATAACAATTCAAACTACCAAACATTCTTCCTAAGCTTTACTACTCTTTGCTAATGCTGCTCCTTCTTTTGGAATATCTCATTTGTACACAGGCCAACATTCTATGAAAATTTTTTGTGCTTACTCAAGCTCATATATACTAATTACAGAATTACACCTTGTAATTATCTGGGAGTCTACAAGGTCCTTAAGGACAATGTGACTACATTTTCAGATTAGCTCAAAACCTCAGCTGACATGCATGGCCACCATTTTAGTCCAAGTGACCACTAGCTCTTTCCTCAACACCAAGTTCACCAACCCACTCCTTTTTAGCCACAATGACCAATGGCTTCCCAATACAGATCAAAACCCAAAACCCTTTCTATGGCTTAACCCTATATTCTAGACCCACCAGCTTCTATTTATTTATTTATTTTGTGGTGCTGGGGATTGAACCCAGGGCCTTGCAAGCACTCTACCAAACTGAGCTATATCCCTAGCCCTCAGCCTCCTCATCATTACTTAAATCTGCCAGACTTCTCTCACTCTGCCTTTAACAATTCCCTTATGTGCAAGGATAGCTCATTCCTGCATTTCATTTGGGTGAGGTGTTTTATGATCACCTGATTCAAAAACATCATCTTTCCACTCTTAGGGTCATTGTTAAGTCACTCATCCCTATGATAATGTTGTCTGATAGTGTTTAATATTTGTGGAATACACAAGAATGAAAATTGGTAGCAAGATGTTAAAAATTGAGATTTTGCCTTTGACTGGATGCCTCTACTATATAAGCCAAAACCTTGATGAGAAAAGGTTATCACTGGTAAACTGGGACATTTCTTCCAAGTACATATTAGACATATTTCTTATTAGATATTCACTGTAATTCACTGTACAAAGAACCTTGGATATGAGTTGACTATATCTAGCATTAGTTAATGACAAAACACTGCAAATAACTGGCACTCAGAAACTAATATACTTTTTATTCATATAGCTCTTTAAGATCAAAATATTTTTCATATTATCTTGCTATCATCAACATTTATTCTTCATTAGGAACAGAATTCTAGGATTACATAATCTATAAAACACTTCACAAACTACATTAAAATTTGCAAAACAAGTACCAACCTCTTAGAGAACTGTTTCTCAGAAACAACTGTGATTTTATTCTTGAAGCGTTCAATGTGAACAACATTCCCGAGATTTCCAGTTTTCCCATTGACTTTAACCTTCTCCCTCAGAAATTGTTCCTATTTTAAAACAGAGAAAATGCAAAACTAGGGAAGAAAACCCTAGATATTCACTAGGGAAGGTACCCTAGGAATAGAGCTCAGGTTAATGTCAAATACTGCATATTTAAATTGTTATCAATAACTATACCATCAGAACAAGTAAAACAATACCTACAAAATTTCCAGAATCAAAAATCCCATCTTCTACAGGATGAGTAAGGTCCAAATTAAACTTCCAAGTGGTCCTCTTAGGCTTCTTGTCTTTCTGCTACGAAATTTAACAAAATCATGATGCTACATGACAATTTATTCAGTTCATAATAAAACGTCAAGATTTTTACTAATACAGTATGTTCAGTACACTTTAGGTTATCTATAGAAATGGTGCAAAATTCTAAATTGTTTAATAGCGTTTTTTCCAACAAGACTGTGAAGATGGGCATGCTCCTTGTTTAAATCAATGTTTGTGAATTTCGACAGAATTTTCCCTTTTTGCTAGACATCTCATAAGCACAAAACAGAAAACTGTGACACATGGTAAACTATTTTCTTCATTAGAATGACTCCAAAGAATCCAATTTTGACTGTAGCTGAAAAAGGTGAAGGAGTGTCTACTTCCTATTCCAACTTACAGCTAAAACGCCCACCTGATAATGATTTGAACCTTTAACGAAGTTCAACTGTTCAAATGGTCAAGAAAAGACTTTATGAGCTTTCCTTATTTTTCAGACACCTCATATTCATATTTAAACTACCAGTGTTTACTACAAAAACAAGCACTGGTTTACTGCTAACCTCCCACAGGTAGTTCACCCACTAGCCCTAGCTCAGTTAAAAGCCAGAGAATTCCACCCACCAATTATAACGTTTTATTACTGAAAATGTGGAAAAGAAGATGCAGAGAGGGGGAACCTTTATTTGGTGGTTCTTTAATTGTAATAAATCAAGACCACATAAGCAAAACATGGCTAACAAAATACACCCAATAAAAGCAAATAATAAATAAATAAACAAAATTAACATAGAATGTCCTATCCAAATTAGATCCACTCAGATGGATATCAAATATTATCATCAGTCTGCTTTTTCAGGAAGCCTGGTAACTTGTGCTCCATCCCGAATATGTAAAACTTCGAATCCGGATTAGTGGGTGCTGGGGCTGACTTATTCTTGGCCAAATAACTAACATTCCTATTAAGGCAAATAACTTGGGAAATGCATATAATTTCTGTACAACCTAACAATTAACTTACAGCTCCTCTGGGCATTATTCAGTTCTATCTAACCTAGCATTTTTTCGTAACAATTTGTGTTAAACTCCCAATACAGACATTAACTAGTCAATATTCTTTAGGACAATTTAACATCTTGTCTTCTTATTAATGTTTTAAATTTGAAGAACAATTTTTTTTTAATATTGCTGGAGCGTCATCACTTAACTTTTTCAAAAACTGCTTGGAGAAACTTCCTCCCTAAACTACTTCTAAAGTTTTCGGAAACATTGGCCGCCGCAGCTCCTTCAGGCAGAAACAGCCGCCAGACCTGCCCGATCACCCACCTCTCCCCTTCCTGGGGCAAACTGGCCACAGCGTCACCAGAGTCAGCCAAGACATGGTCCAGACGCCGTCCCAGCTCCTGGTCGTGCCTCCCTCCTCCCGGCATTTTAAGCCACTTCCCGGCCCTGGTACAGCTCCACCTCCAGCAGACCGCATGGCAGCCATGGGCGTCTCAAGAACCAACTAGGTAGCGTTGGTGTTTTTGATAGTGTTCCCGACCCGGTGTATTTCTTCCCTCCTTCGATCTCCAATGAGATGTCCCCACCAGCCAGAAGTTAAGAACCTTCCACACCGCCAAACACTCTCACCAAGACCCGCCGTACTCACCGGCGCCATCTTGACAGCCAGCAGCGTGATCGGAGAGAGAGGGAGGGCCGCGCGACACCTATTTATACCCAGACGCTGCGTCACACGCCAAGAACGTAAAATCACCGCCTCCCGGAACAGGACGTAGGGAGGAGCGCGGAGGCCAGTAACCTAGGAAACCGTAGCTGTGGCCCCAGGCGAGAGGCCTCTGTTGGCGTCAGGTATTCTGCGAGCGCCTTCCAGCGGTCGTGGTCGAAATGTTCTCGGCTTTTGGCTCCTAAGGAATTCCTAGAAGCCCACAGACCACGGGGATTTCTGCAATTAACCTGTGGTTACTCCCAGATGAAATCACACAAGGAATGCTGGAGTCATCGTTCCACGAATCACCTGGACCTTCTGTGCAGTCAGGGCAAGGCAATGTTTCGGGTTGATTAGGGATCGTCTCTCATATTGCAGTTATAAGACTTCGCGGAAAAGTTATTTGTATTTTGTCTGTGAGCTGTTTTCTAAATGACTGTTGAGGGAAATCCGTGCTTCGGGGAACCAAAATAAACTTGGTTCTCGGAGGGAAAATCTAATGGGAAAAACGCGTGGTATCTACTTCTTGTTTGAACATTGGGTGTAAATTATTCTGTTTTATTCTGGTTTCTAGAGGTAACTCCAGGTCTACTATCTTTCATCTAAAATGCTTCCCAGTTAATATTCAATGAATATCTGGTGGGGACTATCAATTTGTACAAGGCACATAAGGGTGGAGGTACCTTGATGATAAAGGGAAAAAACAGTTTTTGATTTTTGTAAGATTCTAACTGATATTAGATCAGAAAAGTGGTATGCCTCTCAGTATTTAACAGCCATACCTTTTTTGTGGAGATGAAGCTATTATACCTTTAGGCAGGGATAAGAGTGGAATGGAATTTTGTTGTTAATTTAGAAAATGACCCTAGAAAATGATAATTGTGTTTGTCCTTTATACCAGCAATTAGTTATAGTGGAAACTATGCTTTAATAAAGCATGCAGAGACTGACTAGAAGAAATTCCTAGGAAAAAATTCCATTTCAACAAGAATTTTTAGTTGTTAATCTCAAGAACCACAGTAATTTCATTTCTTTTCCAAACATTAAAGGAAGGGGGGACAAATGCATTTTCTTCTCAGTGGCTGCCTAAGCTGCAGAGCAAAAATGATCCTTGCATTATTGGATATTTTTTTAAAAATCATTAATTAATGTGTGTATGATTTTATTTTACTTTGACAGCTTTCTATGTCATGACAATAAACTCCTTAAAAATGATTAAGCCATTTGCACAAAGGGGATGTAAAAAACCAATATGTGTCAAAATAATTAATTAGAAATATGATCGGGGGAATTGTTTTCTTTTAATTAGGAAAAAGAAAAGCTAAGAAAAATATTAACCAGAAATGAACAGATGGGAAGACTAAATGTTGTAAATAACTCAGTTCTTTTCAAACTGTGGAATTTTTTCCACATGGTATGTATTAACAGCAACATAATCAACATCTCAGTTATTTTTTATTTTGAAAGAAGACTCTAAAACAGATGTAACAATGTATGGAAAGATCCAAAAATGAAGTGGCCTTTCCAGATATTTGAATACAAGGTACAGATATACTTCTAATATAAACTTCAGTCATTGAATCTACATGATACTAAGAGCCCAAATAAACAGATTAGTTTTAAAAAATACAGAAGGACCATATAATAGACTACATTGTTAGAAAATCCCTCAATATGTAGCTACCTTTAAGAAATGGCTAAATAGTTTTATAAATAACATTTAATGTATAATAAGCTGGTAGAAAAATAAAAGAATATTTTGGAGGTTAAAATGGCAAGCCATGCTTATTTGTATTTGGAGTTTGAATTAACTCTACCCAAATAGCATGAAAAAGGTTCAAACTAAAAATCTAGTAATGTGTGCTTGGATTGTTAGTTCCAGGCAGAGGTAAACACAAATGCTTTCTGGAGAAATACAGTTTTAAATCCAGGCACAAAGAATTCTCTGAGAGGAACTTGTAGAAATATGAGCTAACCATTTGTTTGTTTTTTAAATCACAAAAACATAGGAAAACTATATATATATGGAAATACTTACATATTTCCTTAATATGTAATTAAATAATAGCTATACACTAATTATATGGTATTATATACTTTGTTAATAACTTTTTTGAGTATGTTTTAAATGCATCCAGAAAATTTTCTGAAAGAACACAAATCAAATATTCACGAATGAGGACCTCCCATTTGATAACTGTTTTACGCAGTGTTCTCTAGAGAAACACAACTGGGAATTGGCTTACATGATTATGAAGGCCAAGAAATCCTCCACCATCTTTTGTATGCTTGCAGACAATGAGAAAACACTAGTGGTGGAATTCTGTTTGATTCCAAAAGTCCAAGAACCAGGAACTCCTATGTCCAAGGGCAGTAGAGGACAAATGTCCCAGTTCAGGGAGAGAGACCATGTGCCCTTCCTCCATTTTTTTGCTTTATCTTGGTCCTCAATGGACTGAAGTGAGGTCTATTTACATTTGTGTTATTCTTCCCTACTCGGTCTACTGACTCAAATGTTGATCTCTTCCATGAATAAAAATCAACTCCCAAACACTATTAAAATCAGACCCATAGAGACTGTGTATATTGAAACTATAGGATACAAAATATAAAATAAACATTTTTAATATTTTAAGAGCTAAAAGTATTCAAAATATATGGAAACCTAAGACAATATTTGCCAGCATTTTAAAAACAACTGAGCAACAAAGAACTTCTAGTAATTAAAGGTAGAAAAACTAAAATTAGAAGTAATTGAGTTAAACAGGAGAGTAGACATAGTTGAAGGGAAAACTAATGAATGGGGGCATTTACTTAGACTACAACCTAGAAAATGAAAGAAAAAAAGCAGGGCATGGTGGTGCATTCCTATAGTCCCAGCTACTAGTGGGACTGAGGCAGGAAGATCTCTTAAGAGATCTTAAGTTTGAGACCAACCTCAGCAACATAACAACATATTGAGATTATGTTTTGATAAATAAAAAATAAAACAAGAAATGAAAATTAAAGAAAAGTATAAAAGGTAGACTAAGAAGACAAGGATATTCAAGTAAATTTGTTCCAGTTATGTCAACTGGGAGATCTAGAAGGACATAGTAGAGATAATGGAGGGGGAAAGTGATAACTACATAGATAGGTAATGGCTGAATTATCAAACCCAGAAAGCCAAGTGAACCACAAGTGGGATAACTTTAGAAACATTTTAGTGAAATTTCAAAACACAAAGGCAAAAATTTATTTCAAAAGAACCCAGAGAGGGAAAAGACTAAATATCCACTAAAGGAATTATACCAATAACTGACTTCACTTCCACAGCCATGAAAGTCAACAACAAGGGAATACTATCTTCCTGGAGCTTCTAAGTATAAGCTATCTTTCATGAATAAAGAGGCATTTATGACATCTTCAGACCATAAAACTGACTTTGCCACTAACTGATCCTTAGGAAAGAATTCTGAATGATATACTTCAGGAGAAGGAAAATAATCCTAGAAAGAAGGCCCAGATGCCACAAGAAATGGTAAACAAAGAAAATGACTAATTTGTGAGTAAATCTAAATATTAGCGATGTTTACAATAATAATTATATCTGCTCTATGGGCTTAGGGTGCTGTTTCTGTTCTGTCTTGAACTTGATAATGTTTATATTATCAAGTATGTTTTGTGAAAACTCATTAAGCTGTAAATTATGATCTGCCATTTTTCTACATGTTACATTTCAATAAGTCATAAATTTTACTGTATGCCAAAATATGGCAAAATAAATGAAATAAGAAATGCCTAGAAAATACGACTTTTCATCAGCATTAAAAGAGAATAAAGTTATGGCATTTGCAGCTAAATGGATGGAGTAGGAGAATATCATGTTAAGCAAAGTAAGCCAATCCCCCCAAAACCAAAGGCTAAATGTTCTCTCTGATAAGTGGACGCTGATCCATATGGGGGGGGGGGGCATGGGAGAAATGGAAGAACTTTGGGCAAAGGGGGGGGAGGGGGAGGGAACATGGGGACAGGAAAGATGATGAAAGGACATGGGCATCATTACCCTAGGTACATGTATGACTGCGATGTTATGGTCTTGTACAGCAAAAAAATGAAAAGTGCTGCAATTGTGTACAATGAAAAAAACTTCAGAATTTACAGAAGAAGAAACAGGATGTCTGGAGATTTCTATATCTTTTAAATGAATTAACTTTTGGTTGTTGGTATTGGGAGTTGAAACCAGGCATGCTCTACCACCGAGTTCCACTCTCAGTACTACCCCCGTCGTTTTTAATTTTGAGACAGGGTTTTGCTGAGTTTCCCAGACTGGACTTGAATTTATAATCTTCCTGCCTCACCCTCCTCAGTTGCTAGGATTACAGCACTTATTTTCATTCACCATCATACCTGGCAGAAATGAATTAAGTTTTTAATTAAAACCTTTCTATAAGAAAAATGAACGATAGCTTGATTAGTGAATTTTGTCAAGCAACTGAGAAATATATCAGCTTTATGACCAAATTCCTATTCTGTTTACCTTTTATTCCAATTCAGGGGAGCATTTACCCAGTTTCCTGTTCTTCATTGAAAAATGGCTGCTCTTAGGGTGTTAGCTCCCTTCCACTTCGATATTGTGAACCCCTGTGAGTGTTGGTAGGAAGGTTCCCACAAATGACCCATGCCTCTTTTCAGAGAAGCCCTGGGGTAGAAGTGAAAAATGTGTAGGGAGATGCTATCAAGTTTCATCTGCATAAACCTGGTTGCTACTGCTTCTCTTAAGTAAACAGTTCAGAAGTACATTCCATAGGGCTTCATGGAAGATCCCTGTCAGGATTAAGCCTCTGTTTTTGCTAGCACATTATATTTGCTTCAGCTCCCTCCCAGTTCTTCTCAGTTCCTTACTTCTTCCACCTGGGATTATTTCCTAAATTGATCAACTGCATAGAGCCAATAGGCAATGAGACCAATTTTACATAAACTCAGATAACAGAAAATTAGACACACCTAAATCATTTTATTAGGTCAACATAACCTTGACACTAAAAGCTAAAGG